CGGCGCTGCCCCCGGCGGAGGCGCTGCGCCGCGGCACCCGGGAGTTGGCCCGCTCGGTAGTTTTCCTGAACTTCGCAGCGGGTTTCGTCCACCTTCGGGGAGGCTCAGGCGTGAAAGCAGTGTTTTCGGTGTGTACGCCGGGAGTTCTGGTGTTGCTCTCCTCACTTCAGTTGCTTTGACCTGTCCTTTTTTCCACCCTCTCTCCTTTTTTTTTTTTGGTCAGAAGTGAATTTTTAGTAGTAAGATAGACTCATATTGGTAAGGACCAGTCACTCTGTGCAGTCCTGTTGGTACCTTTAGCATGTAGATACATGCAGGTATTTCTTGCTCGTTAAAATGATCTAAGATGTTGGGGGGGAGCTAAGTAATTCCTTTGGTGGGCTAGGTTGGGGGTTAGAAGTTGTAGATACTGCATGGTGAGGGATGCAAAAGCACGTTCTGGGTGCTTTTCCAGGATGTTAGTAAGAAAAGTCCACTGCTTTTTGTTCATTATCCACTAAGAAAAGTCTCCGCTCTTTTAGCGGAGCCTTTACCCATCAATCAGGATATGTCACAACATCATAAAGAGAAGTAGGGGGTCGGCTTGGCAGTAAATAGAGCAAGGACAAGCCAGCTGGGGCCCCCGATGAAGAGTTATGCTGTTCTTGTTTGAGCTATCGGACTTCTGCCTCTGTTTTATCAAGTTGTTAACAGGTCTGTCTAAAGTGGGACACCTTCCTGTTACTGAAAGCTGCTTGGACCAGTAGGGCTAAGTACAGTATAATTTACTCAAGGGTTGGTGGCTTGGTGGCACTGTAAATATGCAATTGTTATAACTGCATCTCTGTAGCACACATTCCTACACTCCTAGGGTTTTTTTTTTTTTTTCAGTCCAGTAAATTTGTCTTGGAGTGAAATTTAATATAGGACTCTGAATTTCATCATGAGAAAAATGATAAGGCTAGTGATTATTATCATATAGGAATGCAAAAAAAAAATTGTTCTCTTCTGTTACCAAGCGTGTGCTTCTCCTTGGTAACAGATACATCCAATGATCCTCTAGTTGATAAAAGGCACATGTACACACACGTCCTTCCCACCTCCACTTTTTTGGGTTGCTACATTTATCTCAGTCTGTTAGGAGGAAAAAATAAAAAGACCTGCCACATGCCCCTCTGTCTCAGCTCCCAGGCCCACTGCTTTTTTTTTTTTTTTTTAAACGTCTTGGATAACGGACATTATGACAAAGTGACAAGCAGAAACAGTAGGAGAGTTGCACTTTGTTGCTGCTGAGCTTCGATGTCCTTACTTGTGGCCAGGTAGGGTGGTCTCTGAGCTCTGTCTGACCTGATCTTGCACCATGGGATCAAAGGAAGCTCTGGCTGTCAACTTCAGCAAGTGAAATATCTATCACATAGTTTCCAATTTGCTAATTAAAGGTCCATCCTCGCAGAAAATCCACCTATTTCATTTCAGCTATTTATGGGTAAGCAATTTGAGTTAATGGGTTGGAGATAAGGGTTGCTTCAAGTGGGGTCCTGCCAGCTCAGACAAGTTCCTCCCTCTACCCGGAGGGACGCGATGCTGTCCATCCCCGACTCGTGACCCCGTGGGAAGTATTTCGCCCTGTGCAGGGAGCTGGTGGACACTCGGCTCTTCTGGGCATATTCCTCTGCTGAGCTGCTCACGTGGCCTCCAGCCAAATGCAGCTGAAACATGCCCAAACTGGATCTGCCTCGCAGCTGCAGGCAGCTCTGCCTACATGGAGCCCACCACAGGCGACTGAGCTCTGACTGTAATATGAGGAAGAGAAGAAAAACATCTGCTTTCCCGGGCTCCTTTCTTGCAGAGCACAAGGCTGCACTTGAAAGGAGGTTGGGGCTAGCAAGTGTGTGAATCAAAGTGGGAAAGAAACTGTGAGGCAGTGCAAAAGTCGGGATCACTGGCACGAGGTCACAAGAGGAGATTGTGGGAGAAGAGGACTTTTTACATAATAAACAGTTTATTACCATGGCAAAGTCCTTCCGCAGGGGCACTGTAATACAGGAAGGGCCAGGTCCGTTGATACAGCTGTATTTGTACCTCCTGAGAAGTCTTGGTGAACGGCGGGCCACGCTCTGAGGAATTAGGTACTGTTTCATAGGTACTGCAGTGCCGGTATCCACACCCAGGTGACAAATGCGTTCAGCACAGAGCTTCTCGGCGATCAGGTAACCAAAGTCAGGTTGAAGTTAAGAGAGCTGTTTGAGACGGGCACGAGATGCTCGATGTGACCGTTGCCTTTTTCATCTCTCCCTACCCACCTCCATCCCTCAGTTTGTCCCTCTGAAAGGGCGAACCCCCCAGGAGCGACGCCATGCTCATCCGGAGGTTAGGGAGAGCACTGCGCTGTAGCTGCCTGGCACTGCAGGACCTCATCACGCGCGCGTTGGCAAGAGCATCCTCTTCAGTGCCTTCATTTGAAGAAGAAAAGTTAGTCTGCAGGAGTGTATACCTAATGCGCTTGCAAGTAGAGTTCGGTGAGGCAAAACAGGCAAACAAAGCCTTCTCCTGAGGACAGCTTGCTGGATCATTGTAGTTGCTGCATTTTTCTAAGCTGATGTTTTGTGAGCCTGTTATTCCAGGATTAGTGCCTGCATGTATTTTGACAGGAAAAAAAAAATTGACATTTGATTTTTTTTGTCTTGCAAAGTGGTTGCTGAGCAAGGGCGCTGCCTAAATTTCAGTAAGATTGCCATAATAGAGTAACGTAGGGATATACCTACTAACGTCTGGTAGCTGTATTGGCACGATCCAAGCCATTGTGGTCATCGAAGTATCTAGCTTCAGCAAGGGGGGGCCCAAAGGAGTTCTGATTTTCAACAGACTTCAGTAACTCTAGAGGAATTAATACACATTATTGTTTCAGAAAATTGTGTATTTAGAAATGAAATCTGTGGATTAATGAGTCCCTAGCTAGGCTCAGATCCATTGCACTGACACAATGCATTGTGCAGAATCAAGGCAATGCAGAGCAAATGCCAAAAATCTGCCATTACCTCACCCTGAAATTGCTAGAAGCTAAAGAGATCTTCAGGAGAGCATGAGATGTGATATATTTTGGGCCAAATGCTAGTTACTTTACCAGCTGCTTCAAGGGCAACGTGATGGATTATACATTTTGGGTAAATTGTGTGGGATTCGAACCAACAGCTCTTACAAGTACCTAGGCACAAGAGGGTGAGCTAAGGTGAGATTCTGAACCTTAACTGTAAACATCTTTAGCACTGGATGTTTAAATCAAATCTTTTACAGTACTTCTTGTGGTTTATGTTGCCGTAATGTCAGGCATGTTGTTACTTTCTGGGCTTGCAAGACGTTTGGTAATGCTTGATGCAATTAAATGCATTTTAGCTGAGCATAGGAGACTGTTGAACAGATTAATTTTTTCCCATTGCTTTTGAATAAAAATATCACAGCCTATAATCTGACATTTTGGGGTAAAGAGCTGATTTGTAAGATCAGTTCAGGCAGTCTTTATTGCTAATCCTAAGGAAGCAGTCTCTCTATGAGGAGCAAGCCAATGTAGATTTGAATTGTGGCTATGAATCCCTGCTGTGTTAGCTGCATTGTTATTCAGCTAATTTTTCAAGACTGTGAACAATATATTCTCAGATTGATTCAAACCTTGTGCTTAAGGCTCAGAATGGCCAATTACTGGGTAATGGAAATCTGACAGAGGCTGATATTGCAAGATAGTGGTTTTTGTGACTTTAGACAGCTGAAATTATCTTCCTTCCTATATAGATATTGTGGGGTGGTATCACATTCTATCAGTAGACTGAATATATTGCATTATCTGCTGTGGACCCCAATGAAACGTCTGGATAACCCTATCCAGCGTTGCAGAATGACAATGTATTAAGGGTGGAGAACGCTCTAAGGCCAAAGTTTGTATAGACACACTTGAACTGAGGTTACGTTTAACTTCTTCTAGGGATAAGCTTTGTCACTACAAAAACAGTCACAGCGAATTGAATCATTTGATTTCTCACCCACTGAAATATGTGTTTATCTGTTTCTTTAGCGTTATTGTGAAGCTCAGAATAGGTGCATTTTTAGTTACAGGTGGTCGAGTGGTTTTCTGTGACAATGCTAACTGTTTAGTGGGAAGCAGCTGCTAAAAATACGGGTTACCAGCTTTTTTTATGAAGGTAGAGTGATTAATGTGAGAAGTGGCTTTTTCCCAGAAAGGTTTGTTTTCAGAATGCACCTCTTTATTTCAGAGGTGGGGGGGGGGGAAGGCATATTTCAAAATCTGGGAAAGGCTGGGGTGGGTTATGTGGGCAGAGCAGCCTCCCCAGGGAGAGCTGGAAGCTCCTATCAAGCCCCACTGGGCCCTCCTTGAATGGAGGAAGTGCTGGCAAAGAGCACCTGCGGAGCAGGTCCCGTGGGCTCCGTCACCTGCCAGCGGCACATTGTTCTGCATACGGTTCACCAAATTGCACGCCGCTGTAGCGGGCACGTTTTTGTGTGAGCTCCGTGCCCTGCCTTCACCTTCTGAAGCGCTTATCGACGGCGGCAAGGGAGCGGTGCGGCGCCAAACCTTTTCAGTAGGTGTTGACTGACTGGGGCTCTAGCTGGCTTCCAGCGAGCCTAAATGAGATGCAGTCACACCGGCAGCTACAGTCGGAAAGGTTACATGACTGCTCTAAATTAGCTGAGGCAATTGTCTCCGAAAATGTTTCCTGTGACTGGAAAGACACGGGCTGTCAGTTCGACCAGCCTCTACGTAAGTGAGAGTATTAACAACTCTCTATGCAGGAGTCTATATTTTCTGTGTAGAGAGAGAGAGAGAGAGAGAGATAAAATGTACGTGTGTGTGTGTCTATATACACATATATATACATGCATATGTGTAGTCCCTCTCTCTGCACTCCATCCTTCCAGTTCTGCAAACTCTTCTGGCCTCTTGGGTAGCACAGACAAGAGGCAGCTCTTACCTGAGCCCATTTGAGCTTTGCTCCCTTGAGCTAAGGTCGTTCTGCTCAGGGTCTAAGTGAGAGCTGTGTGGACAGCAGATGGAGTTGTGCTGGGTCCCAGGAAGGAAAGTGAGGGGCACGCGGTGATGGTTGCTTGCTAGACAGGGAGGCCCACTGTCTTCCTTGGAGCTGGCTCCGTGGCAGGCAAGCTCTGCCTCTGGTCTTAGCATCCTGCTTCTATCTCCTGCACTGCTGTCTAGGATTGTTGTTGAGTAGCTTAGTCCTTAAATGGACCAGTTATGAGAAGCAGACTCTGGAGCGATTCATTTTGCATGATTTTTATCTTCTAGAAGCTTTCCCTAGGAGAGCAACCAACCATTTCAGAGAACATAGGCAGTTGGACACAGAAATGTGGACCAAAGTTGTACCAGGAGCTACCAGCAAATGTTATAATGCTGTATACATTTTATAAAGTTACAGTGTTTTTATTTATTTATTTTTTTCCTTGGTTGTATTCACTGTTTGACTGCTTGTTCCACCATGGAGTCCATGACATGGAAACTTCTTCTGGTGACCCAGGGCTTTCGTGTGCCATGGCAGATGAAGTTTTGCCTAGGCACTTGCTCTCAGTGACCGTGCCACCCCTGTGGCATCACTGCCGTCTGTTTGAGAAACCAGGACCTGGAGGAGGCTTTTCCCGGTGGACTCCTGCGTCAGACTTTGCCGTTGTCAACCTCGTGTAGTCAGATCTCAAGATCCAGGCTTCTCCATGTAGTATTACTGGCTTAACAATTGATAATTTGGTAATTGCTCATACATAGTTCTCGGATCTTCACCCTTGTCTTTTCATTTCTGAGTTTTGGGGGCTATGCACACGCAAGGGTTGCTTTTCAAACTTTCTTCCCAACCATATGGGCTAGGAGCTTGCTTAGTTATAAATGAAAGTCGATATACCACTGATCTTTCAGTTCAGCCCTTCTCTCCCTCTCTCCCTCTCCCTCTCTCTCATGCTTTTTTTTCCCCTTTTTTCTCCTCCACAGACTGTGAGGTTCCAGATAAAATTGTGAAACTTGAAACCCCTTCATTGCTCTCAGTGGCTCATCGAGTAAAGCCACAGAATTTTGATTTTCAATTTGGTCTGTTATTTTACATTCTTCTGGCAATGCTACTCGTATATCACTTTCCTATAGATGCATTTGTTTTCTCACTGTAAGTATTTAATTAGTAGTTTTCTTGTTGCTTGTTTACAAAAACATATTTTTAAATTCTCTCTGTACCTGAGAAAATCTTGTTTTGAGAAGGACTTACTGTAAGTCTGTACAGTAACTTTCTCCCAGGGTGCTGTTTGTTAACAGCTGCTAGCTGTTTCACTTGGATGATAATACATCATTATGCAGCTGTCAATTGTATGCATTGGGGGGATGAAATGAGGGTGTTTCTGCAGCCTTAATTTTGACATTTCTTTGCTTTTACGTGTTTACTTTCACTGCTTTGATGCTATTCTTTTCAGAGAGGGACGTACGTGGATGCATAATTTACAATGGAGCTACTAAACATATGCTTGTGTTAACATATGATACTTCAGGAAATGATTTGAAGGACATTGCCACGATTCCAATGACATTAGTAAGGACTTTGCTGGAAGCAGAACTAGAAGATTTGTTGCTTCGCTGGCACAAAGTTCCCTAATACATGTTATGGCGCATTTAAGAATCTTAACATAAGGTAGAATAAATGCCAAAATGCCGATGTGCAGTCACCTGCTCAGTTTGTTGTGGTCACCTGCTAAAAGTTTATTCGTCTGGAGAATAACCTGTTGCAACAAGCTCTTGCTATAAAGCCCCCCTCTTCCCTGTAACCTGTGGTCATCCTATGTTGCTTGCTTTGAGTAAGCAGAACAGTCTTTAATAGCCAAGAGAGCCTGTTCATTACTGCAGTCTGTTTTCCAGGAAGACTGTTTTAATATTTTTCAGCTGTGGCTTACAACTTGTTCTGCAATGAGCTGAATTGATGCACATGTGGCAATTGCTTATCCTCTTGAGATAATCTGCTTTCAAGTTTACATTCAGCAGTTTTAAGGACGTCACTAACAGTGCATGTCAGCAACGTGCTGCTTTTCATATGGACCATTATAATTTTAGTGGCATCTGCAGGACTGAGGGAAGCCGCGTGTTTAGGTTAAATTGACACCAGGTGTAGTTCTTATGTGGCACTCGCATTTGGTCCTTATATTTCTTCTTGCAATTTTT